AGAAACAGGTAAAGCCACCCTTAAACAGCTATTTGTGATTTTTACCTTATAATCTCAAAATATCTATTTTCTCTCTTTGAAGTTAATGAAGAATGAAATTAATTGAAATGAAATTGAATGAAAACATTCAGTAAAGTTATAAATATGCTAGATTCTTAGTACTGTACAGAAGCATCAAGATACTTGTGCACTTACCTTCCTTTTTCGAAGCTTGTAGTCATTTAGCTCTTCTTCATCTGTGATCTTCTGTTGAGGAGGTGGTGGAAGAAGTTCAAGTTCTCTTTCTTTTGCTTCTCTTAAGAGCTGTTCTGCTGTGATCTGGACTTCTGCTGGTGCTTTGTTTTTCACCTTCAGAAGAAAAACAAATGGTTTTTGATACTCTTATATTTCTCTATCTCTTTAAAAAATAAACAAAAAAAACCCAAAACCAGAAAGTGAGCTGACCCAATGGTTTATTATGTGAACTAAACAAAGAAGTACAATTTGGTGACTGGCTGAGAAATAAATGGAACTAAGTTTGCTATTAGACACCAAATATAAAATGTTCCTTACAGTGTCCATGTCACCCCATAAAAACATCATAAACTCAGAAGCTGTAACTCTGTCTGGAGTGCCAAAAGATGGAAAATGTTGGAACAAGGCATGGAAGAGTATTCATGAAAGTATATCTGGGACAAATGTCACCACCTACCTTGGAAAAAAAATTAAATATAAGAATAGATCTGGAACTTTGTTTTATAATATGATGTGCAAAGCTGAAAATATGATACTCAATAAAAGAGTACTACCAGTTAAAAATATCATGGACAATTTTTTTTTAACCTATGTTACTGATAGTCCTGGATTATGAAACAGACATTTTTAATGTCCAACTTGATTATTTGTGTTCTTTCTTTGCTTTTAGCATTCCTCTCAGTTTGGACAATGAAAACCCCATGTTGGTTGTTTAATTTGTTTCACATTTTCAGTATCGTATTTCAAAACTGAAGAACAATATTCATTTGTTTTAAAAATTATTTGATTTGATCTTTTTTAAAAAAATGGAGTAAGCATTCTACTGATATGACTGGTTTTATAAAAGTTTGGGTTTAGAAAGTTTAAATTGGGGCCAAATTCAGGTTGACCCTGTGCCTCTGAAAAAATGTCACACAAACTACTGACTGGATTAGAGCAAAAACAACTACAAAGCACATAAATATAATCTGCTTGGGAAAAAAGTAAAGTATAATAGAACCTCTGATATAACACCTGTGGAATGTCCATTGTACGTAATTCTAAACAAAATATTATAGTTCTTTCAAAAACTTACAAATGAACATTGGCTTAATCTTTGAAACATTATTATGCAGGAGAAATGCTGCTTTCCATTTTTTAGTAGTTTACATTCAATATAGTAGTGTACTGTATTTGCTTTATTTGGTCTCTGCTGCTGCCCGATTGTGTACTTCCAGTTCCAAATGAGGTGTGTGGTTAAATGGTCAATTTGTGACTGCTGTTTATAGCTCTGAGACAGGGATGTTAAAAAGCGGTTAAGAAGCTAATTGAATAGTCCCTGGAATTTCCATTGACTACTCAATTAATCGATAAGGGGTTTCTCTGCGGCTCTGCTTTTTAAATTTAGTAAGAGCAGCTTGGTGGCTCTTACTACATTTAAAAACAGAGCTGCAGCATCTGGGAACCAGCATGAGGAAAACTTGTGTCATCTTCCTCACTGTGCCTCTGCCTCCCCGCAGAGTCTGTGCTGGGCAGAACTAGTTTTTAATAGCATCTGATATAGAGGCAGCAAGGGGGAGTGGGGGAAGCAACTAGTCACTTACATCTGTATTCTGAGATTCTACTGCATAAAACCAGGAGTTTTTACATTTTTTGGAATACAGAGTAAGGCTCCAATCCTGCAAATACTCATATACTAACTTAACTACACAAGTATTCTTATTGACTTCAATATAATTATTCATGCCCATAAGGCTAAGGATATGCATATCAGTGCGATGTGGGAATTTTTCAATACTTTTTCTTGTTGGAAATGTTGATTTATCAAAACCAAAACGTTTCACGTAAATGTATAATTTTTGATGAAATTTTTTTGGGGAAGTTTTTTCAGGTCAGGGACAGAATTTCTCATCAGAATCAGTTAAAAAAAAAAACCACACTTGATCAGAAAAGCCAATAATCAGGATAGTCAATTGAACTTGGGTCTTTTACAGTCCAAGTTCCTGCTTTGACTGAGTCAGAGCAGGGACCTGAATCTGGATTACCCACCTCCCAGGTGATTGCCCAAACCACATGGGTATTGACTATTCTCAGATGGGTCTCTCTCAATATAAACTGTTGGAGCTGCTTCACTTCATATAAATTAAATATCCATTGACCCAGAGTGAGAAAGAATGGCTCTTTGACACTGTTCTTTAATTGGTGGTTCATAGACTTTAACCCTGCCACCAGGGCTTTCTGTTTGACCTGCTACAGGACATCAACTGCTCCTTCATACCCTCAGAAACAGTCAATCAAAGCTTCTCCAGACACAGAGGGTCTCATTCCCCTGCCCTTCAGGACTCTAGCCTAGTTTCAGAGGAAAGGCAGGAGGAACTATCCCTACTCACAGGAGAGTTGGGGAGGATGAAACTCTGCAACTCAAGGTCTGCAACTCAAGAAGTGGGAATGACTCCTTTCTCATCCCTTTAACATCCTACTATGGGAGGGGGAGTAAGAAACCTCTGAGATTGCCTGGAGAGGCAGAGGGATACTACTGCAGCACCCTCCCCTTGGACAGGGGTGTGAGTGGAAAAAGTCCAGTAAGAGCAGAAGGGAGGCTGGAGGCAGGATGGGCTGAGCCCTGGTTCTTAATTAGCAGTCCAATCACCACACAGCTGTAGCCTATGTGATATCCTTAGGGCCACGCAAATAGTATATATAAAATGTGTAGATGTGGCTCACCTTACATAGAGAAAGAGCTACATATGCTGTCCACAATGGTAAATGGGTTGAAAACCATTGGGCTAGGTACATGGGTGTTGTAGAGAGATGGGGGAGGAAAAATACAGAGTAGAACAGATGGGAATTGGCCAGATGCACTTCAGTTTGTTTTCTGTTTTTTTACCATCATGCCATCTATATAATTTAGAAACTTTTCCTTATCAGAGCTTAGTTCTATTGTGTTTACATTTCAGTTTATGATGGAATGCTTTTAATCAAATGCTTATGCAACATAGGGTGATCTGTAATTGATGTACTTTCAATAGCTAGCTTGACCACATGCTTTGCAGTACTTTTCTGGGGAGGGAGGAATAGTGCGAGTACCAATATTTCAGGCTGTAGGAAAGGGAAATTTGATGTCCATGTGACTTTAACATCTAATTTTAATTTCATAGTTATAGAAACCTAACTGCATGTTTTAATAACACTAGTGTTTTTCCTTATTTTGTTTACAAGATTTTGTTAGTCTCAAAAAATTAGCCATGCCATGAACAGTAATCTAACAAATATTCTGTTATATTACTCTGGAAAGGTGGTGAACCTTTGCCAGTAGCAGGCTTGCTACAGAGCAGACACCTGAAAAGCCCTTTGGTGTGGCAAGCTGTGGGCACTGCCTTATTCAGCCCCTTAAAGTAAAATTGACTATCGCTGCTCTCCCGGGGGGTGGTAAAGCACCAACTCAGGCAGAGCAGGGACAGGAAGGGCAAGGCTCACAACAGCCCCCATGAAGTGCGGGGGGGCCCCTCAGAGTAGCAGGCTTGCTACAGAGCAGACACCTGAAAAGCCCTTTGGTGTGGCAAGCTGTGGGCACTGCCTTATTCAGCCCCTTAAAGTAAAATTGACTATCGCTGCTCTCCCGGGGGGTGGTAAAGCACCAACTCAGGCAGAGCAGGGACAGGAAGGGCAAGGCTCACAACAGCCCCCATGAAGTGCGGGGGGGCCCCTCAGGATTGTGTGGTTCCCCCCCCCCCCCGCGGATGCGGGTG